ACAAAAAAAAAAAAAAAAAAAAAAAGTTTAATTGTGGTAAAAAAAAAAACATACACACATAATCTAAAATTTACCATTGTAACCATTTTTAAGTATACTGTTTAGTAGTGTTAAGTATATGCATATTGTTGTGAAACAGACCTCTAGAACTTTTTCATCTTGCAAAACTGAAACTCTACTCATTAATCAACTTCCCATTTCCCCCTCCTCCCAGACCCTGGTAACCATCACTCCACTTTGTCTCCATGAATTTGACTACTCTAGGTTCCTCATATGAGTGGAATCACACAGTATTTGTCTTTTTGTTTCTGGCTTACTTCACTTACCATCATGTCCTTAAGGCTAATCCATGCTATAGTACGTGACAGGATTTCTTTCCTTTCTAGGGCTGAATAGTATTCCACTGTACATATATACCACATTTTGTTGGAAACTTAGCTTGCTTCCACCTCTTGGCTATTGTGAATAATGCCATTATGAACATAGGTGTGCAGATATCTGTTGAAGATCCTGCTTTCAATTATTTTGGGTTGCTGGATCACAGGGGCATCTCTTTAGAGTGACAAAAGTGTTCTAAAATTTGTTAGTGGTGACGGTTGTACAACCCTAGAATATACTAAAAACCACTGAATTGTACATTTCAAGTGGGTGAATCAAATGGTATATAAATTATATCTCAATGAAGCTGTTAAAAAATACAACTCAGAAAGGCTAAATCAAGGATATAGTTACATAAGGATTTTGACTGAACTGAATAATTAATCTGGTTAAATAACCAGTCAATCTTGTCACATGGGTAATTCTGACTCTTATTTGCAATGACCTGGCTAGATATTTAGGTGTTTTTTGAGACATAACCTAAGTGCTTTTTTAACACTGACCATTAGAAGACATAGGAAAAAGAAAATGTCAGTACCTATCTTAAATTCACAATATTAAACCTTTTCATATTTTGTGTCAAGAAACACTGTGAAGAAATAACAAATTCATACTAACTATAGCAATTTTTATTTCATCTGCTCTGTAGGTATGGCATTCACCAGATTTTTTTAAAGATAGGGAAATAAGGTAGAACTTTATTCACTTTGACTTCAGATTCACTTTTTGAAATGTCACTCACAATTATTTCACATAAAAGATGCCCAAAAGACAGAGTTTATTTGCCTTTCTCTTTTTTGCAATAAAAATTATAAAATGAAGAAGTCTTATGTCCCTTGTCACCGAATGGGGAAAGAGGGAATAAATTAAAAAACAGGAGAGAAAAATTTTTGAGAAAAGAAAACATACATCAAATTCAGATTGTTCTCGTCTCTAATTGTTATACACAACTAGAAAAGTTAACAGCAAAACACATGGCCACTGAGGCTCAGAAACTCATTTCATCATCTTCTCTTTTGCTTCATCCAGACATTTTCAATTTTGTCAAGACTCAAAGTACAGATATAGAAAGACAATAAATGAGATAATCTCAAAGATTTCTAATAATCTCTTCTGATCAGAGCGGAGCAAAGTGAGAGAAACCTTACCAGTCTGACTGATCATTTTTAAAGTAACATGCTCCATGTGGTTTACAGCAAATAGACAAGTTTGGAAGCCAACTTTCAATCTTGGTGCCAAGCACAGAGTGAAACAATGGTCATGATCTAATTATAGTGATAGCTGTTATTATGTGGGACAGTCTTTCTTTTCAGATTACACATCTTATAAACTTTAACAGCTTTTCATAAATAATCTCTCAGGGTTGACTTTAAGTGAAGGTTGAAATACTAACCGTTGATTTCAGATTCTTATTACAGATTTTTCAAAGTCCGTCTGTGTGCAGAAGCAAAATTATGAATGGCGACTCGAAGAGTTGAGTTCCCTTCAGGGATATCACAGGAATTGATGACTGAATGTAGTGCCCGGGTATATGCTGCAAATAAAGATTTGAACAGTGGTGAATGAAGTCAGATTCTAAACAATTCTCCCAACCTTTTTCTATTAGTACTGTTTCTCTGCCTAGTCTCATAGGAATTAACTTTAACCCATTCACTGAATAAATATTTATTGAGTACTTACCACATGCCAAGTACTCTGTGATTACAGAAAAGATAAGGGAGAGGATGGACACAAGAATTAAATTGCAGTGTAATATTTCCAGACCAGAGGCATATACAAAATGTCATCACAGAATGAAGTTTGGAATGAAAGAAAAACTAGGAGAGGATGGAAGAGATTTCCAGAAGTGGTAACATTTAAGATGGTCTTGAAGGATTAATAAAAATAAAGGAAAGAAGGCATTCTAGGCAAAGAAATGAGTGTGTGGGGTGCAAAGGTATAAAAAAAATGTGGCATGTCATGGCAGTAGCAAGTTCGATAAGGCTGGAGTGTTGCCTGGAGCCAGAGAGAAAATATGCCAAATATGATATGTATTTTGTACTGTAATGGTAAGTCCTACGGGTTTGATGATAGGGGAATGGCATGATCAGATTTGTGTTTTTAAAATATAACTCACAGGACTGATAAGAAACTCATATCACAGGGCAACAGGAATACAAATACTTGCAGTACTTTCAGTGTGTGTATGAAGCCTATATAATCTCTACAGTATGTAAATCAATATATTTAAGAATGGACAGGAAACAGAAATACTAGTCACAGCAGGAA